CCAAAGCATAATGGCGTGATCTAGTTCTAGTGAGAGGTAGAGTAGAAATGGTTTACACTAAATGCAAGCTAACTTTGCATCTTGATAACTTCGCAATTATTTGCATCGCTTCTAACCCCCTCTTCACTACTACTGGAAGCGCATAGAAATGGGTTTCCACTTTATGAGAGGTGAGATCCAAGGTGATTCAAACATCACGTATTAAGACCATGAAGTTATTGACACCCTTATTAGAACTGCTTGCAAGAGCCTGCTTCATTACATCATTGGCAAGATTAAAATAGCGGATATCAATGAACCAACTTGAGGGGAAGGGGGTCAAAGTCTTTATTATGAGGGTCTCTTTGTTTTTTATCTTTCATGTGGATAGATGTCCTCTTTGTTGTAACTTGGGCTCATCTCCTATATGTGACTCTATGTGGCCTTTAAACTCTAGGGAAACTAATAGACTAACAATTTGCTCAAAACTCTATTTTTCTTTTGCCCAACCTCAAAAATAACTGAAAGGACGAACCTCTTAATGCAATGAAATGGATACAAAAAGGAAACAAGTACAAAGTGAGAAAATAGGTTTAGAGATACATCTTATTTTTCTGTAACTGTTGATGTGAGGTGTAAATAGACACAAGGAGACGGGGTAATTAGCAGACCATCTTGCCAATGAAGTGGTGGGTTTGAGGTAACTATGCGCTCGGTGTGAGGTCTCAGGGTGATGGGTGCTTTTTCGTGCATGCTGATCCTATATAAATAGTTTCCATGTTAAAATGATAATATATCGGAAAGTATGATGACGCATATGTTTAATATGATGCAGTGTTTTAAAATGAGGGATGCGGCCCTGATGCGGTGGGGGGCCGATGTGGCTCGATGTGGCCCGGATGCGGGTGCATCGCAATGATGCGATCAATAAATATAAAAAAATTCTAAAAAATCTAAAAAAATAAGTTAATACATAGAAAAAAATATGAAGGTGATATATGTGATAGTAGGTATTTTAGTTTAATGATTAACTTCAAAACTATTAGCTGTTAGAGATTCTGTATCCAGTTATCCACTATCCCCTGATAGAAACTAGAAACTTGAAACCAGCTTCATAAAGCATTCAACAATCAACAACCATCAGCACAAATTTGCACCATAAGCACAACTATAATTAAACACAACCATC